AATAAGATCATGAGAATGAATTATCTTCAGATCTGATGCAATACATTGTAGCAGATTTAATTTATCTTTCCAATCCATCTGTGCTATAATTTGCCACCAGTTCTTCATTAATAGTAAATAGTAAAATAACGTTAAGGCATGATTTCTTTTTACTATTATTATTATTATAAATATTATTATTATTATTATTATTATTATAATTATTTTTATTATTAACATTTTTCTCTTTAGAAAATTTTTTTAAGAATGTTTTTGTTAAAACTCATCATTACCCCTTATATTACACAAATTTAAACCTCCAACAATTATTATCTAAATATGGTAATTGTAATAATAAAAATAAAACAATTGAAAAATTTTTAATATTACTGATTGTAGTAGAGTGGTAATGATCTGTGATTGTAGCCAGCAGCCTTGGGTTAAATACTCTGTTAACAGGTCATGATTACAGCATCTGTACTACAATAATTCTTTTATAATTTTTATAGTTTTGCAGAGCAAAATTTTTTAAGGAGGGAGTAGTGTAATATTAATGAATTTTTATTAATATTTTTATTATACTTTTACTTAAATTTTATTATATTTTCTATATGTTTATTATATATTTTATCATTTTATTAGCTTATTTACACAGTTTATAGTATATTTTTTCTATTTTAGATGTTTATACAATAGTTTATTACATATTTTATTAGTACACTTTTCACAGAATTCTATTTAAAGCAATATTTGCTTTAATATTTAATTATTAGTTCGTTTAAAGTATTGGTATACAAAGCAAAGCTACACAAGTAACACAAAGTGCATGAGATACCTCAAGATGCCCCAGGACTTCTAGAATGATGTATTAATAGTCATTTAATTGTATTACTAATTTTAGAAATAATAGCTTTATTAGTTAGTTTATAGTATTATTTTATATTGTTATTATATAACATTATTAGACAGCATTATTAGATGGCGTTATTTCATATTGTTATTATTTTTTTTAACTATTTTTAGCCTTAGAATAGCATTATGATGACTAAAATAATAGTATATAGTATTATTGTAATGATTTGCAATGATTTACATTAGTAATATAATGATTTATAGCATTATTTTCTAGCATTATTATATGTCATTATTATATGGCGTTGTAATGTAACAAGTTAGACCTTTGGTTAACAAGTTACTTTACTTGAATAAGTGTACAAGTAGTTAAGAAATGTGTTTATATAAATTTATAAAAGAAACAGTTTATAGTTAAGATAAAATATTGTCGACTTATTGCTAATGCGACACTCACAAAGAAAAGATTATAACCAATAAAATTTATAAACAAAAGATAGATTTATTAACTTAGATAATACTCAAAGAATAACACAGATAAAACAAATATATATAACTCAAGAAAAATATAATAATTCCAAATAAATATCACAGAAAAGGGACTTATTCCCATCAAAATAATATAAAAATACTAAAAATAGAACTTATTTCTAATATAAAGTTATAACAAAAATAAAAATAGGACCTATTCCCAAGACCAAAGTATATAATAACAAGATAATAGCAACCAAAATATGGGACCCACTGTCCTCTTGCCTTTGGGAAAGAGGCAGGGTTTATATATCTTTTTTCAGTATATTAATTTACTATAGAACATAGTAATTAATTAAGGAAGGGCATCTTTTATTAATAGAAGAGCACTTTCTACAATAGTATGTGCACCTTTAGATAGTGGATGGGCATTTCTAAATAGTGGATAGGCATCTTAGAATGATTAAAATTAGAGATTGGGCACCTTTTACTATAGCAAGAGCACTTTTTAATATAGGATGAGCACCTTTTAATATAGGATGGGCATCTTTTAATATAGGATGGGCACCTTTTAATATAGCAAGGGCACTTTTGCTATTTTAGGTTTTGGCTTTGTTTACCCTTAATGTTGTTGTTACATCATTTTGGGCTGTCCTGGTGCACCATTTGTATTCAGATAACTTGGTCCAGGTTCTATTTACGTTAAATGAACTAATAAATTAAATAATTAAATAACTATTGCTTAAATGGAATTCTGTGAAAATTATCCTAATAAAGTTAATAATAAACTATCACTTAAGCGACTAAAATAAATAAAATATGTTATAAACTATATAAATAAACTAATAATACTATAAAATATACAATAATAATATAAATAATATAATAAAATTTAAGAGAATATATAATAAATATATAATAAAATTATTAATAAAATTCGACTAATAAAAATTGCCTAATAAAATATATATAATCTAAATAAATTTAACTAATAAATTTGCTAATATAACACTACTCCCTCCTTGAAAAATTTTGCTCCGCAAAATTATAAAAGATTTATCATAGTGCAGATGCGGTAATCATGATTTGTCGACAGAGTTTACCAGTCTGTCAGCAGATATTGAACCTACGACTGCTGGCAACAGTCGCACATCATTACCACTCTACTACATTTGGTAATATTGTAAAAAATTTTGATTATTCTATTTTTAAACAATAACATTACTATATATAGTCTAGTGATTTTCAAGGGCTTGAGTTTGTATAAAATAAAGCGAAAAGAAGAATTTTTTTTTTTTTTTTTTTTTTTTTTTTTATACTAAACTTTAAAACTAAAAAGAAAGGTAAAGGTAAATAATAATGATAATATTAAAATATAAATTTAACTAATATTTATTATAATATAAAGATGCCATTACAATATTGAACTACTCTAGCTCGCAGAAGAAATGGCCAAAATGCTCTTTATGGAGCAATCGATATGCTCCAAAGTGAGAATCGAAGGTAGTTTAAATAAATATAAATAATAATAATAGAATAATATGAATAATAATAATAATAATATATAATAATAATTTTTAGATTGGCTTGTGAAAATACAAGATTAAGGAGAAGAGTTTCTGAGTTAGAAGGGTTGTTAGCAACAAGAGCCTTGCAGCTGAACGAGGCTTTACAAACAAGGGTTCGAGAGTTGATATTAGAGGTTAAGAATCGGCAGGCGCATTTGGAGGAGGAGATTAGAGAGAATCAAGAGTGTAATACCAATTATACGCTTTTGGTTCGAGAAAAAAGTGCATTAAGGTCTCGAATAGCGATCCTAGAGGTGTTATTATATATCACCTCAAATTAAAATTTTTAATAAAAATTTTATAATTTTCAATTATTTTGTTGTATTGTTCTTCAGTTAATTTTTCTATCATTGAAACGCTGATAAATTTTGCTTTATAAAGTTGTTTGATTCTAACTTTATAATAAATATTATAAATTCTTTCGCTTGACTTCCATCTTTGGCAGATTTGTCTTTTTCAAGTCCTCTTGTAAGTTTCTTTCTAATTTCATTAAGAGACTTTTTATCAACTTCATTTTTATTCTTTAGTTTACCTAAATAATAATCAGCTTTGAGTTTTGCAATTTAAGCATTCTTTCGATTTCTGTATTGATTAATTTTAGTTATGATTTGTTTAATACTTCAAATTCATTATTGCTTGTAAATGGTGAACTAATTGTTTTGTTGTCTTCTATTAGATAATTAAGATCATCGATAATTTTATCAACAGTTGATTTCTCTTTGTGACCTTCTTCATTAAGATTATTCAACAATTCGAAATTATTTACTGTGTCTTCTCCTTGGTGATATGATTATATAAATGGATCTGTAATATTGCCTTGTAGTAACGTGGTCCAAAAGTTTTCCATTTTAAGTTTTCAATTGTTTAAATATATATTGTTTATAGAGTAAAAGTAATTGATATGAAGGTAGGATGTAGTGTATTTTTATAAGTTTTAAAAGAGTACAAAATAGATTACTAATTGTTTGTGATAGGAGTTTGTGTAATAATTATTTGTGGTACTGTGTAAGTCTCGATCAAAATATAGCTTCAATCGGTCACTATGTACTAGATCTTTAACCTTTTTGTGATCTAAGGTTTTTAATTTATATGTTCCAAAAGGTAAGATATCATGAATGATATAAGGTCCAATAAATCATTCTTCTAATTTCACAGAGAATACATTTTTCAGTTGAGATTTATAAACTAAAACTTTGTCACCAATTTTTAGTTTGTCGATTTTAATTTTGTTGTTATACTTTTCTTTTTGAATATTTTGTGCTTCTTGAATATTTCGCAAGGCTTCATCTTGTTGTTTTAACAAGATATCCTCTATTTCAATATTCTTTTTATTAAAGCATTTTGATATTCATTGTCATCATTATAATAGGTTTCTATTATAGTTTTTATAGGAAGTTTAGCTTCTCTTCTGTATAGTAGAGAGAATGGTGAGAATTTTGTAGTTCCATATTTCATAGTTCGATAAGCTAATAATACTGAAGGAAGTATTTCATACTATTCCTTGTATTTATAGCTTACTATTTTTGCTAGAGCTTCACCAATTGTTCCATTAAATCTCTCTATCATACCATTAGTTTGAGGTTGGTATGCTGATGATTTAAAATGTTTTATTTGAAATTTAGTGCATAGTTCTTTGACAACATCACTTAGAAAGTTGGTTTCTCGATTGGATTGTATAATCATAGGAGCTCCATGTTGACAAATTATTTCTTTGTAGATAAAATTGGCTACCGTAGTTGCTTTAATATCAGCAATTACTTTTGCTTCTGGCCATTTGGTAAGATAGTCCATAGCAACAATTATATATCTGTTGCCTTGTTTAGTTATTGGTAATGGTCCTTTAATATCAATCCCAATTCTAAAGAAAGGTCCTTTTACTTCTATTGGTCTAAGATCTTGCCTTCTAATTTCATGTTCTCTGCTTTGGCATATGTCACATGTTTGAATATAATTTTTAATATCTTCATACATGTTTGGCCAAAAATATCTTTCTTTTATTTTATTGTAAGTTGATCCAATTCCAAGATATACTCCTTCTCATCATGTAGTGAATATAATATAGTATATTTTTGGTGATGTTTAATTACTCTAAGATGGTTGTTTTTATTTCGATGATATAGTTTTTCTTCTATTATTAATTAATTATTTGCTTCTTTTTATAAACAAGATTTTTCTATATTAGAGATGTCTAGTGGATATTTAAGGTAAGATAAATAGTTATAAATATTTGTATACTGTTGTTCATCCATTGTCAGTATTTAGATATTCAGGTAAGCATGAGAAGAAGTCAGCATTTTTGTTCTGGCTACTAGCATGATACTTAATATCATACTGATATTCTTGTAAGGTTAATCGCCATCGTGTAATCCTTTTATTGTCATTAATCGTAGATGAATTTAATAACCATTGTAGTGCTTTGTAATCAGTAATTAAGATAAATCTCATCCCATATATATAGTGTCAAAAATATTTAATAGCCTGAATTACTGCTAAACATTCTAATTCAACAGTACTATAATTCTTTTCTGCAGGAGTTAATGTTTTGCTAATATAGGCTATTACATGTTCCTTCCCATCTTTTACTTGAGATAATATAGCTCCAAATCCTTGATAGGATGCATCAGTAAATATAATAAATGGTTCATTATAATCAGGATATTATAATATTGGGGCAGTAATTAAACATTGTTTTAGGTAATTAAGTATTTTATTATGTTCTTTCGTCTAAATAAATTCTATATCCTTTTGTAATAATTTGTTTAAAGGCGCAGCCTTTTTAGTAAAGTTTTTTATAATCGACAATAATAGGATGCCAGTCCTATAAATGCTCTTAATTGAGTAATATTTTTCGGTGGAGGTAATTTTTTAATTTTTCAACCTTTTGAGGATCAGGTTTTATTTCATTTATACCAACAATATATCCAAAAAATTGTATTTCATTAGTACAAAAATGACAATTTTCAGGATTAATTCCCAGATTTGCATTTTTAATTAAAGCAAATACTGATTTTAAATGTTCAATATGTTCCTTAAATGTTTCTGAATATATATTTACATCATCAATGTAGACCATAGCATACTTCCAAAGTGCTGGTTCAAGTACAATAACCATTAATCTTTGGAAGGTAGATGGTGTGTTATAAAGTCCAAAGGGCATGACATTAAATTCATATAGACCGAACTTTGTAATAAATGCAGTCTTTTCTTTATCCTCTTCTTTTACTTCGACTTGCCAGTATCCTAAGGTTAGATCAAAAGAAGTAAACCACTTTGCTTTCCCTAGATTGTCTAACATTTCATCGATACATGGTAGAAGATAAGTATCTTTCTTAGTTATAGAATTTAATTTTCTATAATTTACACAGAACCTAAGCTTTCTATTTTTCTTTTTAACAAGGACTATTGGGAAACTCCAAGGACTTCTTGATTTTCAAATTATTTCTTCTTTTTTCATTTTAGCAATTTCTTCTTTTCTGTGTTCTTGCTTTATAGGAGATGCTCGATATGCTCGTTATTTGATAGGGTATTCATTTATAATATGTATACTGTGATAAACTATATTAGTTTGTTTCAATTCAGAGAATTGAGTAGCAAATATATTAGAATTTTCTTTTAGAAAATCTGATATAATATTTTCTTGCTTTTGATTCAAATTTGTTCATATTAATGTAGTTTTATCTTTGGTTATATTGATTTTATTAGATGGTAGTGGTTCATTTTTAGCTTCAATTTCTGGTTTAATTAACTTGAATAGGTCATTAACCTGTTTAGTTTGTTTATCTTTACTATTTTTAATTTTGATATTTGGTATCATGTTGTTATCTACTTGGAAAAAGTATTTATTTGTTTTGATTTTGGTAGTAAAGTATCGATTATTGTTTAAATCTTTTTCATCTTCTTCTAGTTCCAATTCATATTCTTTATCAATTAATTGTTTATATTTAATTGGATATAACTGAGTAGGTTTTTCTATTCATTCCAAACATGTGAAAAGGACATATTCGATATTGTCACCTTCACCTATCGACATTAGACCTGTTCTATAATCAATAACTGTTTTTACTAGGTCCAAGTATTTATTACCTAGAACCACATTATATTCTTGTAATTCAGTAACAATCATATCGATACTGATTTTATTGACTCCAATTTTGACAGAGACATCCTTAACTTTTTCTAAAGGGGTTGTTCTGTTATCAGTAATGTCGACAACTCGAACATTACTTGGTCCATCTATTGGTTTTCCTATTCAGTCTAGAAATTGTTTTGCAATTACACATTCTTTTAATCCAGTATCAATAAGAACATTGACTTCATAACCAAAGATATAAGCAATAGAGAATAGAGCATCTTGTACAATTTCTTTTTTTAATTCCTCTTGTTCTAAGCTATGATTTAATCCTCTAATTTCAATTATTTCATCATCATTATTATTCTCTAACCAGATATTGCTGATATCATTTTCTTTGTCGAGATTATTAGTTCCAGTATTTATATTGTTTCCATTATTTATATTTTCATTATCATTGGTAAGACTATTATAATAATTCATGATTTCTATTTCTAGGTTTTGTAATTGTTCTATTGGTGAGAGTTTTGAATTACTGACATGCTCACCCTCAGGAGATGTCTTTTCTAGTTTAAAAAGTTCATTCTTTGATTGGCAAAATTATTATTATTATTATTCTGGGTATTGATATGATTTTCATAATAATTTAAGAAATTTTGCCTTTGGTCATCAGTTTTGTTACCAGGTTGTTGATTGTTATTATTATTATTGTTTGGATGGTTTATTTGTTGATTGTTGTTAAGTGGTCTGAAATTATTATTATTATTGTAGTTGGGAGGTCTGTTGTTATTTTGGTTTTGATAATTGTTGTTAAAATTTCTATTCATTTAGTAATTATTATTGTTGTTATTTCTTCAGTTCTGGTTCATTTGATAATTTCTTGCCATGTAACCAATCCCATTACAATTATTACAAATGGGAGCTCAACATTCATATGCAAAATGTCCAGGACGTTGACAATGATGAAAAGCATTATTGTTGTTATTGTTATTGTTTCTAGGTCTGTTATTGTTTTGTTGCCAATTATTGTTGTTGTTTTGTTGATTATTTCTATTGTTTTGGTTGTTATTTTCGTTGTTTTGATGATTATTATTATTAGTAGATTGCTGAGATACATTTGCATTAATTAGCTTTAGTTGTTTAATTGTTTCAGTTAAAAACTCCTTAGTTTTAGCAGCAGGAGTAGCATGATTAAAGAATGATGGTTGATATAATGCAGATAGCAATGAATAGGCTAAGAGAGTATTGCCTTTAGAATATGCTACTTCAACAGCTTTAGCTTTTTCAACAGCTTCAAATAGATCATCTGGCATTGCAGACTCAACTGGAATATGGAATTTAGAATGTAGACCATCTATGAATTGTCTTCTTTTATCTTCATCAGGATAATTAGCATTTGGGTCTACTTTTCGCCATAGTTCTTCCAAAGCAGAGAAGTAAGACTCAACAATTTCACCAGGTTTTTGTTTTCTATTTCTTAGGGTGTAAAACCATTGGGTAACTTGATGAGGACTTCTGAATTGTTTTTCAAACTAGTATTTGAATGAATAATTCATATTATATACAGTAGAATAATCTTTTCAACTAGTAAAAACTGTTTTAAAACGATTGAACTAAGTAAGAGCTGTTCCTTTTAAATAATTAGATACTATTCTTAGTTTTCTTTCATCATTCATATTATTTGCATTAGCTGCATTATTAAAGCTTCAAACCAAGTAATAGGATCTTCTTCACCTCCTTTAAAGACATGCAAATCTACAAGTTTTGCTTCTTTAGGATTACCATTATTATTGAGTACTTGACCTAACCCTGTAATTAGTTGTTATATTAACTCAACTGAAGAGGGTTCTCCATTATTATTTGTTTGTTCAGGCTTTCTTCATATTACTAATAATGTGTTTCAAGCACTTTGTTGTGAATTATCTTCATGGTTGAGGTTGAGGTGGTAAATTGTAGATAGTTCCTATAGGATTGTCAGGATTTGGAAACTCCAAATAGTAAGTAGTAGGAGGAGCAGGCTCAGTAAAGTTAGGTTCAATTTGATAACCTTTGTCCCAGAGTTGTTTTGGTTTAGGATTATATCTGTTAGCCCAATTAAAACTACAGTGCTTGGTATAAAGGTATAGGATTTTTGTTTCCTCAGTAGTTAAAGCAGAACCAGTTTGTAATAATTGAATAATAGTTTTAACTTTGTTATAGATTTCTTCTGCTTTTTGGTCAGTTAGATATGTGTTATTGCAGTATTCGAATAAGAAATTAATTTCACAATATTTATAGAGAGCTTTAAGAAAGTTTCTAGGCATTGGCTATACTAAGATAAAAGATAATAGAAAAAGTACTAGGACACTGTCAACCTAGTAAGGATTAACTTTTATGACAGATTTTTAAAAGAATTTTTAAGTAAAATAGATAATAGGTGTTTAACAGAACTTAATTCAATAGATCCTAGATACTATAAGGTATAGCAATAAGCCAAAGATGGGATGGCACTTATTGCCCTTTGTGTGCTGATCGGGTATAATTAAAATAATTTGCCATATACTAGGATTATTATCCACTAAAACTTAGATGTATCCTAAAATACAACCAGAGGAAATAGTATTTAATAATCAGACTATTATAAGCTATATGTGGCCTTAAGTTCCAAACAATATATAAATATATTGTTTAACAAGAAAAAGAAAACTAATTTAATAAAAATTTAAAAGAGAATAAAAAAAGAAAAGAGAATAAAAGTTGCTTCATATAGATGATAAGCAAAAGAATAAAGAGAATTTTAAAAGAAAAGAGAATTTGGAAATCACAATAATACAAAGAGTTTTTGGTCCTGTCATCGTCGCCAAAACTGTAATGTAACAAGTTAGACTTTTGGTTAACAAGTTACTTTACTTGACTAAGTATATAAGTAGTTAAGAAATGCATTTATATAAATTTATAAAAGAAACAGTTTATAGTTAAGATAAAATATTGCTGACTTATTGCTAATGCAACACTCACAAAGAAAAGATTATAACTAATAAAATTTATAGACAAAAGATAGATTTATTAACTTAGATAATACTCAAAGAATAATATAGATAAAACAAATATATATAACTCAAAAAAAATATAATAATTCCAAATAAATATCACAGAAAAGGAACTTATTCCCAACAAAAATAATATAAAAATACCAAAAATAAGACTTATTTTTAATACAAAGTTATAACAAAAATAAAAATGGGACCTATTCCCAAGACTAAAGTATATAATAACAAGATAATAGTGACTAAAATATGAAGACCCACTGTTCTCTTGCCTTGGGGAAAGAGGCAGGGTTTATATATCTTTTTCTTGTATATTAATTTACTATAGAACATAGTAATTAATTAAGAAAGGTCACTTTTTATTAATGGAAGGGCACTTTCTACTATAGTATGAGCACCTTTAGATAGTGGATAGGCACTTTCAGATAGTGGATAGGCACCTTAGAATGATTAAAATTAGAGATTGGACACCTTTTACTATGGCAAGAACACTTTTTAATATAAGATAGGCACCTTTTAATATAGGATAGGCACCTTTTAATATAGAATAGGCACCTTTTAATATAGCAAGGGCACTTTTGCTATTTTGGGTTTGTTTGGCTTTGTTTACCCTTAATGTTGTTGTTACATCATTCTGGGCTATCCTGAGGTACCATTTGTGTTCAGGTAACTTGGTCTGGGTTCTATTTATATTAAACGAACTAATAAATTAAATAATTAAATAACTATTGCTTTAAATGGAATTCTGTGAAAACTATCCTAATAAAGTTAATAATAAACTATCATTTGAGCGACTAAAATAAATAAAATATGCAACTCTCCCTAATGATCACTTGAACACAAAAACAAGCTGAAATAAAATCGACAAAAACTCAGCAATAGCTATAGAAAGCAGTTCAAGTGACTCTAACAAAAGAGAAAAAGCAACAAAATTAACAGGTAGTGAGCTTAGAAAGCAGCAAAGAAAATTTGTACGAAGCAAGCTATCCAAGAAAAACAAAATTTTGCGAAGAAATTTTAGAAAAAAGTAGATATCGGCCTGACCCTGAACGCAGATCATTGATAGTCACACAAATGCGTAAACAAACAAACACGTTTAGAATAGGCCAAAACAAAGTAAAAGTGCACGTGCAAAGCAAAACAACAACAAAGTCACGTGTAAAGAACAAATAGATTTGTCAATAGAACCTTCCAGAAAATTAGATTAGATTATCAAACAACATAGCAAAGATAGATTATCAACAGAATTAATAGATAACACAGCATGGCAAAGATAATCCTCTACGACTTCATAGAGAGTAGATGTGCAGCAGCATCAAAATACAAGATGGAAATACAAATAGAAAAACTCACTAAGGAAGTGTCAGTTAGTGCACCAAATGATATAGAATATATAGCAAAAAGTTTAACGATAAAAGATCTAGATAAGATCACAAACTCAGAATTAATTGCATACGGAAGATTATGTACAGCATTAAGTGAAGCTGAATGCAGAAGAATAGAAGAAGGCCAAATAGAAAAGTAGGCAATTAAGGCCAGATGGGTAAGCCAAAACCCGAAGTCAATTGAATATATGGCTGAATTGAGCAAAGAAGAAATTGAAAAGAGAAGTAATAAAATGGAAGGAATTATGAAAACAAAAGAAGAAGAAAACATGCAAATAGAAGAGTCAAAAAAAAGAAGACAAGAAGAAGAATCGGAAAAAAAGATAGAATCGAAAGGAAGAAATGTAAAAGAACCAATACAACAAACTGAAAGTGTAAGAAAGGGAGACGAACAAGCAGAAAGTATAATAATCTCAGGCCCAGGTGCAAACTCACATGACTGGCTTAAAGAAAAAGGAATTGAAGTGAAAAAAACTAAAAAAAATAAAGAAGCACCAATAGAAAGAATTGCGAAAGATGAGATTAAAAGCATTAGAAAAGAGATACAAGAAATTAAAAAAAGAGACTAACAAAATTCAGTAGCAGAAATAGCATGTGATCCAATAGAATGCAGCATGTGGTCACCAAATAACAGAACATGCTAAGGTGATAAATCATTTGTAGCAAAAGCACATGCATGCAAAGTACCAGGAAATACGCCTGAAGAAAGAGTGGCAAATTTAGAAGGTATCTTAAGCAAAGACAAACATATGAAATCGATACAAGAGGTATTCAGAAATGGAAATAGTTGGATAGAAGTAGAATTTGATTAGAATATAGCAGAACAAATGCAATTAAAAGAATTGAAAAGAAAGAAGGAGACTGGCTTCGGCTCATTCCAGAATTAGATAATGAAGAACAAAAACCCGGCCGAAGAAGCAGAGAGAAGAATTATAAAAAAGAGAGAAGCAGGTGACAAGAAGAAGAACCACAAGACTTCAAAAGAAGAGACCTGTATAAAGATACGGAAAGGAAAGAAAATCAATGCGAAGAAGGCAGAACAGATCGCACCAGATATATTATTATCTGAGATTTACCAAAATCAACTAGCACAAAAGAAGTCCAGAATATATGCAAAAAATTTGGTAGACTGGAAGACATCAAGATTAAAAGAACAGAATTTAGAATGGTAGCAGAAGTAGAGCTAGGGTTTAATGTCAAAGATTACAAGCTGCCTTGGGTTCTACTATTAGAAAATGAAAGGTTAGCGCGGGTTTCTAAAGGTAAAGAAAATAGAGAAGAAATGAGCAGCCGCTTTAGGCACACCATAAAACTAGAAGACATCCCAGAAGGAGCTTCAGAAACATTATTGCTAGGCTGTATTAAAGAAAGAGGAGCAAAGGAAGTATATATTCCAAGGAAAAAAAACGGCCGAATAAAGCAAGCAGCAATCATCACTTTTGAAAATGAGACAGATTTAGAAAAAGCAACTAGTAAGCCAGTCAGGTATAATAATTGGATACTAAATTGGAAGCAGGAAGGCGGATATAACAACTGCCCACGAAGCCCAGAAAGAAATGTATGGAGAGGAAGATCTTGACAACCAAAAGCAGTCTCTACAAAAGGAAAATAGAGAGAAACTTCTTATGACAAGAAGGAAGAAAACACAGAAAAACAAGAAAAAAACAATTCAAGTACAAGAAAAAAACACAAAGATGACAAGAGAAATCGAAGCCAAGATAACTGAAAAGTAGACTCCAGCATTATAAACAGAATTGAGGAGCATTAATTAATACTTAAAAAAATATTAAGAAGATTAGATAGTATGAGCAATGAGCAGGCAGTGCCTGCTCAACGCTCCTAAAAGGCACCCTAGTTGAATCTCTGAAAACTGATCAGAAGACTGGCCCCTTTCGCAGAAGCCCTCAGAATAGATATAATAATGAAAAAAAAGAAGTCTTCAATCAGCAAATAGACATATACGAAAGAAAGGGGAAAAGAAATATAACAAGCAAAAACCAGATCCAAAACTTCAATACACTAAAAATTGGATTCCACAATATTAACGGCATCAAAATATGCAAAAACAGAGTAGAATCAACTATAGATTTTATGTAAGATAAGAATATTAATATTTTAGGAATAGCAGAAACAAACCTATCCGAGAAGAAAGGGAGATTTTTAATTAAAAAGCAAGAATACTACGCTGTATATTGGTCAGCAGCAGAAGAACAAAAGAAAAAAGATCAGGAGTCAGCATCCTAATTGACAAACAATAGGAAAAACACATAGTAAAGGTATCCAGAGAGAGCCCATACAACATCGACATAGTACTAGACTTCAAAAGAATTACAATCAATATTATAGTAATATATGTAGCACCAAATAATTAAGAGATGCACGAACAGATAAAGACTTATATAAAGAAAAAAACAAATACAAGTAACAGAAAGAAGCAACAGAGATTTGTAATAATAGGAGACTTTAATACAAATCTTAGCAATGTTGCAATAAACCAAGCATCAAGCAAAAAGAAAAATACAAAAAAAAAAATTATAGAGGAGATAGAATTAAAAGGCTTGGTAGATGCGTGGAGAGAAACAAATCCAGAAGATGAAGTAGCGACATGGAGCAATCAGAAGTCAAGATCCAGAATAGACACAATATGGGTTGATAAACTCTGGGCAAGAAACATAATACAAAAAAAGATAGTAGATATGTTGTTAATAACAGAAAGCGACCACAAAGCAGTAGTACTCAAACTAGAAACAGGAAT